ATATGTTTGTTCACGTAGTGAGCGCACTCTACGGCGAGTGAATGATGATTGATTGATGAAGATTAAGCCATCAAAAAGGTGGCACGGGCATGAATAGCCCGTAAGTAGTGGCACTTTTGAGCCATTACCAGTATCAGTAGATGATACTGGAGATCTGTGGAGGTGCGACTGCACCCTGCGTGACGGGAGATGTCTCCCGTCTAGTGAATGAATTTATCAGTAGAATTATATAGCACTTGGAAGGGATCAGGATAAGTATTTGGGATGGGACAGGGGGGGGGGGAAGGGAAGGAATGGTGCCCAACCACTTGGACGGTCGGGGATTGAACGCTGACCTGCATGGCGCTCTGCGGTAAGTGAAAATATTTAATTTTAAGTTGATAATTTTATGTGAAAGTGTTCTACTCACAGGAAAATTGGGAAAGAAAGGCCGGTTGTGTTGGTGTGGAATGTTCTAGTAGACCTTGAACAGGTTTGTAACTTGAACTCTAGCTCCTTGACCCCACCATTCTGTCGGTCGTCTTATGAAGATGGACTTGACCCCGCCTTTTTTTGCCCTGACTGCTTTTATAATTATGGAAGCAGGTAATCTCTACCATTTTAATTTTTAATATATTTCGGCCTGACAGCTGAGTGGACAGCGCTCGAGATTCGTAGTCCGGAGGTTTCGGGTTCGATTCCCGGCGGAGGCGGAAACAAATGGGAAGTTTCTTTCACCCTTATACCCCTGTTAATCTATCAGTAAATAGGTACCCGGGAGTTAGACAGCTGCTACGAGCTGCTTCCTGAGGGGGCGGGGGGTGTTTGTAACAAAAAGGAGGCCTGGTCGAGGACCGGGCCGCGGGGACGCTAAGCTCCGAAATTATCTCAAGATTATGTCAAGAGATCCTCAGAGAGAGAGAGAGAGAGAGACAAAACTGGAAGAGGGCGTGGGGGGAGGGGAGGGGAGGAGGGGGGAAGATGGGGCATCCCGTCTCACCATACAGGTTCTACAAGCAACAAGGTGGAACAATAACAGAGACGTTATGCACAAACAATGGGAGTCGTGAGGCCGTAAAAATGCCGCAACTCAGAAGAGTGAAGCAAGTTAAACTGAGGACTGGTTGTTGTAAGTTAACCGACACATCGGCGACAGTGGTTATAAACATGAGAGACATTATGCCAGTGATGGGGTTATAATCATGTGAGCAATCATGCCGCATCTCGCCCATATAGAGTTTTAAGTCACTGTCTGTATCTCTGCCTATTTCTGCATTTGTCTCTGTCTCTGTGTCTCTCAGTGAGGGTTTGGACATGTTCAGAACCCGGTGGCTGAGTAGACAGAACATTGGACGCGTGATCCTGTGGTCCCGGGTTCGATCCCGGGCGCCGGCGAGAAACAATGGACAGAGTTTCTTTCACCCTGATGCCCCTGTTACCTAGCAGTAAATAGGTACCTGGGAGTTAGTCAGCTGTCACCGGCTGCTTCCTGGGGGTGGAGGCCTGGTCGAGGACCGGGCCGCGGGGACACTAAAGCCACGAAATCATCTCAAGATAGAACCCATGTGAGCGAAATTGAAATTGAAATAAGTTTATTGAGGTAAAATACACACAAAGGGATGAGGTAGCTCAAGCTATTCTCACCCCATTCAGTATCCATCCATTGGAGACGAATTGTATGGTCAAAGGATTGGCAAATGCAGTTTAATGCTGATAAATGTAAAGTTCTGAGGCTAGGTAATGATGATAGAGTTACAAGATACGAGCTAGATGGTGTTGAGATTGCGAAAGGGATCTGGGAGTTATGATTAGTAAGAATTTAAAACAAAAGGATCAATGCTTGAATGTTCGTAATAAGGCGAATAGGACACTGGGATTTATTAATCGATGCGTTAGTAACACGAAGTCAGTCAGTACAACGTGTTAATACATACATAGACACGTGTGAGAGAGACACAAATAGACGTGTGAGCGAGGTATGAAGGTATTGTACAAAGGTTGAGGCGTAGATCTTCCCTTCTGTATGAGCAAGTGACGTCATCAAAATGTATTTATTCTGTTATGAGCAAAAGCATATCGAGTAGAGTTTTTATTTTATTTTCCGAAGAGCAGTAAATAATGTTTTACGATAAAATAACTTTTCTGAATTGTTTGTTTTGCGAGTTAAACCATTAGTGAGCCAGTAGCAAGTACCAATATTATCACGGTGTTCAGTATGAGATCATGTCATGCTTTACTCGCTTGAATAATCCAAACCCAGACCGGGTTAGGTTGGGCATATACCCCAAAGCTTCACACTGCAAAGTTGGGTTAGGCTAGCTCCCCCCAACACAACCAACACACACCGTAACGGCAACGTTATTTTACGTTGTTACAAAGTTATTCACGCTGTAGCACATAAAAAGTACGTTAAGGAAAGCGTTTAGCTTCCAGACTTGGACAGATAAAGAAACATATGCATATCTATAAAATAGAATATATATCTAAGGCGATATAGAGATATATAGAAGGAGATATAGATATAGATACGTGTCAGGAGAGGCAGGAATGTCCTGTGGGCGAAACACGCAGGAACCTGTCCGTGGGATAATAATTACCGTTAAGGTTCAGTAAACCCAGATTTCTCCAAGCTTGATGCCTCGTTAGACCCCCACTATACAGTTAAGCAAGTCCCAACTGTGTCTGGGTACAAGTGACAGGATGAACAATCCAGCGGGGTTTCTTCCTTTTGGGGAGTGTTGTAGTGCTATGTGTGTCCACTCACAGGATGAGTGGCGCTGCCCAATATGTCACTATGGCGGTGTGTCCACTCACAGGATGAGTGGCGCTGCCCAATAAACTCGCCCCTCAGGGCAAAATGAACAAAAATTGCAATTTAACCCCAATGGGCTGACTGATGTTTATGACTATACTTCCTGCTTGGTTTCACTTCTCACCTTACGTTGTCTGTCCCTTAAGGTCACTCTCACTAATGCCGTCACACTTCTCGCGCCTCCATCACTCTCTTTCGCCTCGATCGCTCCTGTAGGTCAACCATCGCTGATAAATTCATCGCTCAGTTCTGTCTTTCGCAACCGCCTGTCACTTGGGTTCACCTGGCGAACTTGACCCCACTCCTATCCCCCCTCTCAACTCACTCAACATAGTTTCCATAACATCTGCCACTATATTCCCCCCCCCCACCACCACCACCACCAGACTCTGCTTCTCCCCAGAACTAGACTCTCCTCCTCCCCAACACTACACTCTGCACTATTGTTGCATTAATGCTCAGGGAATCGTAGTAGTTCACTTAGTTTTACTGCAAGATTCCCTCGGTGATAATTTTCGTAACCAGTCATATCATTACTAGCAAACTCTTACTGCAGAACGTGTGCGTTTTCTTTCGTCACACAACGCAACCGGATGGTATTCAGACTGAAGAAGGGGGGGGGGGGTAACTTTATTTAACTTCATTCTGGGTCTTTGGCGCGCGCTTGTGAGGTAGATATAATTACGCCCTTGGATGAGGTCCTTATCGGGGTCATCCCACAATGTACTCCACCTTTTGTTATGCATTTATGTCTCTTCTCTCCTGGTTGATGGGGTTCTGGGAGTTCTTCTACTCCCCAAGCCCGGTCCGAGGCCAGACTTGACTTGTGAGAGTTTGGTCCACCAGGCTGTTGCTTGGAGCGGCCCATAGGCCCACATACCCACCACAGCCCGGTTGGTCCGGCACTCCTTGAAGGAAACAATCTAGTTTCCTCTTGCAGATGTCCACGGTTGTTTCTGTAATATTTCTGATGCTCGCTATTAGGACGTTGAACAACCGTTGTTTAGCTAAATGAAATATGGGGAACAGTTCCTGTGTACATTATGTGCCTCTACAATTTGTTCTGCTTCCGCTCACAGGATGGATAAAGGGTGCATAATAAATTGGCTAAACTAAACTTTCTCGCGCGAGAAAGGACGCCGGTATCTGCATAAATGTCACGTATAACTGTCCGTGAATGTCTACCAAGAAATTCCGCCCTGACTCAATTGCAATTGCAAAATAGCACGGTTGTTAATGCAACTCCAGAATTTCAACAATGGCTGGTGTCTCCACATATGTTCAAAATGCAGTATGAACCTCGAATATCCATGCAACCTCGACTGGCCATGCAACAGGGCTACACTTCACTCTGGTTCCTGTTGTTTGTGCTACACTTCACCCTGGTTCCTGATGTTTGTGCTACACTTCACTCAGGTTCCTGATGTTTGTGCTACACTTCACACTGGTTCCTGATGTTTGTGCTACACTTCACTCAGGTTCCTGATGTTTGTGCTACACTTCACACTGGTTCCTGATGTTTGTGCTACACTTCACTCTGTCAGCAGCTTCTCTCCCAGCTAGTGGGTGTTGATGCTACACCTCATCTTCTAGTAGATGCCGGTGCTACGCCCTCGTGTTGCTAGCAGCCGCTACTAGCTGCCACACAGTAGCGTCTGGTAAGGATGTGGCCCCACCAACCCGGAGCATTTTGGTACTTGTTAACGCTTCAACTTGCACACGTAAGATGCGTCAAAACTGAACTAGTCCACGTAAGATGTGTCAAAACTCAACTAGGACACTTAAGATGCGTCAAAAATTGACTTGGGCACGTAAGATGCGTCAAAACTTACGTTGGACACGTGAGATAATATGGAGAAGAACCGAGATATCTCACTGTGACGTGTATCTCCTCACGACTCGGCTCATGACTGTGTGGTACCATGAAACCTTAAAACATCTTATAAGATAAAATGCTACAATGCAAGTCACAATATTAGGAACGTGTAAGAGCAAGCTTCACTATACCCAAGAGTCACAAAAGCCAAAGGTCACCAAAATTAAGGATCACTAAAGCCGAAATACATAACTTTACCGATCATAAATATGTTTTGAAATACTTTGTTTTTTCCTAGGCGAGCAGCATGTACCTTGAAATTTCTAAATAATCTGTTGATTAATCAAATGTATTGTAGACCGTATGCGAATCCTAAATGCATGATGTTTCCCATCTCCCGCCAGTTACCAGAAGCCTACTACGAAGAACGTGTACATCGCAAACATGTCCAAACCCTGCCCAGCCACTTCTGTTACAGGTCAGTGTTTTGCCATATTATTTCTAATATATGGTGACGTCGAATGAAACATTGTTGATGTGCTCCCGGATGTATGCATACGTATACGTATGTATACATACGTATACATATACCCACTTTTTTTGGACCACGTAGGGACGTTTTTCTGTGTATTATCAGAGAAATAACATATACTTCAATAGCATTATTTTCACGGCGCCTAGTCCGCTGTATTCAACATGGCGGCTGTAAACGTATATACGTGTATATTCGTTATTCTAAATGATAATTCATGAAATTTGTTTATGATTGGTTAAGTATGACATTATAGTCTTTCCTAAACCCATGATAATAGCGGCCATCATTATTTTCGTGGAGCCTGTGAAAATATCAAGGCATGTTGTGCAGGCATGACGCGCCATAACTAGCCACGGTCTATTTATAAGTTGCTCCCCATCTGGCTACCGGGAAACACGCCCACATTCTCATGGTTCACATCATCACTAACACAGCGCTGTGCGATATACAAATCCAACAGGAGCCGTGATGAGGGTTCGAACCTATGCGCTGGATTTGTTCATTGATATATTACGTTAAATGTGATTTCTCTGAGAGCTGTGCAATATATTGAGCAGTCAAGCATTCTGAGCGGCTAAGCCGTTTTAGTTTTGATGTGAAGGGAGATGAATTGTATTTGTTGTTGTGGGGCTGATTATAAGGCCTATATTGCAAGCAGCTTGCACCAGTAGTACACGTGTGTGTTTTGTGAGCAGCCTCTACCAGTAAGTAGTGTAACATGCATTTAATTTTGACACCATTGCAAATCCCGAAGGTGAAGACCCAAACATTAACAATAAGTAAAAGTGTGCACTATAATGAAAATGTGACAACTTTGGCGTAAGGATGTTTTCTGGTTACAGATCAAATAGTTATAAATAATAGTTATCAAATAGTTATAATAAATAATTATAAATCACCATACCTTTTATAAATACATTAATATTCTTATAAAACAGGAATATTGCGCAAAACGTAAATCATAATAGCTAATAGCCTATAATCTTTGACGCTTCAGATTACATATATGATAAAAAAAATTAAAAAAAATCATTTTCTTTCGAAATCAATGTTATGAAAATCTTACATTTATCATGCTCTTCGACAAATGATTCTTTTTAATAAAAAGGACTAATACAATAAGGAAAAGCAGTCCTAAGAACATTTCCTCCAAGGTAAGAATCTTAGTCATCTTGCACCTGGTAAAAAAAATACACACGAAATTAACAGGAGCCGAAGGTAATAAGAGAGAAATCTGTTCGGACAAGTTCACCTAGACAGACATTAATGTTCATTCAGACATTAACGACAAGTTCACTCAAGAAACGAAAGGTGAAACTTGAGAAAAATCAGTCTCCATAGTTCAAACAGGAACCGGCATATTCTTAACTATTGACAAAGACAGTACACGAGAGTTAGACTATAAATACATCACTTTATGTAGCCTGAAAGCATGTTAGGTAACCTGCTTCAGTGTGTTAAATACATCCCAGAGTGCCACAGTGACTCAAGTACAATACAGTGCCACAGTGACTCACGTACAATACAGTGCCACAGTGACTCACGTACAATACAGTGCCACAGTGACTCACGTACAATACAGTGCCACAGTGACTCACGTACAATACAGTGCCACAGTGACTCACGTGCAATACAGTGCCACAGTGACTCACGTACAATACAGTGCCATAGTGACTCACGTGCAATACACAGTGCCACAGTGACTCACGTGCAATACAGTGCCATAGTGACTCACGTGCAATACAGTGCCATAGTGACTCACGTGCAATATACAGTGCCACAGTGACTCACGTACAATACACAGTGCCACAGTGACTCACGTGCAATACACAGTGCCACAGTGACTCACGTACAATACAGTGCCACAGTGACTCACGTACAATACACAGTGCCATAGTGACTCACGTGCAATACACAGTGCCACAGTGACTCACGTGCAATACACAGTGCCACAATGACTCACGTGCAATACACAGTGCCACAGTGACTCACGTACAATACAGTGCCACAGTGACTCACGTACAATACACAGTGCCATAGTGACTCAAGTACAATACAGTGCCACAGTGACTCACGTACAATACACAGTGCCATAGTGACTCAAGTACAATACAGTGCCACAGTGACTCACGTACAATACACAGTGCCACAGTGACTCACGTGCAATACAGTGCCACAGTGACTCACGTGCACCACAGAGAGTGCAAATAAGCCCATAAACATAAATAAAATCGAACCAGTTCCAATGAAGTTTGGGCAAATAAATGAACAAATAGCCTGAAAACCCCAAACGCTGAGAGAGTAGGCTTACAGCATCAAATTTTCAATTATTTACGGTACATACGGAAGCATTTATTATACATGTTGCAAAGGCGATGATTTACTGATAAACCTACTGATAGTTTTATTGCTTGTGTTTTAACAGACCTTTGTGTTGATAAAACGGGCGAATCAGTCGACGAGAGGCGACGGCGCCACGCTTGGCAGGTAAGCTCTCCCTCACCCCTCTGGTCACGCTTCTGCATGGTATCCCACACTGTTGTCTCTCCTGCACGGTATCCCACACAGTTGTCTCTCCTGCATGGTATCCCACACTGCTGTCTCTCCTGCATGGTATCCCACACTGTTGTCTCCCTGCATGGTATCCCACACTGTTGCCTCTCCTGCATGGTATCCCACACTGTTGTCTCCCTGCATGGTATCCCACACTGCTATCCCTTCTCTGATCCTTGCTTTAAATATCTCCGTTGCTAATCCTGATAAGTAACTTTACACATATGATTTTATACATAAGAAAGTATAATAACTTTATACATATGAAGACGACTTCTGACTCCTGTTACCAGACCTAAAGCTTTCCCTTCCCATCGCCCATGGTAAGCCTTACACATTCCTTTTACCTGGAACACGACTACGCCAAATCCCGGATACAATGTGCTTGTTGGCCAAGTACAAAATACAAACCTCTACTTGGCCTTGCCTGCGACCCAGCTTTACAGGACCGAGACGGACTCCAGTACTCTAAAAAGCTTAGTCGGTACAGTTAGCGTTTTCCGCTTTTGGGATAGGTTGTTGTTGTTAAAGATTCGCTACTTGGAACAAAAAGTTCCAAGTAACACGGGCTATGGTGAGCCCGTAATTGGGATAGGTGGTTCGAGGATCCGATGGCCCAAATGAATGGAAAGAAATCCAGTACTCTACGCTGGCTACTTTTTTAAGGGATTTGTTAAGGGATTTTTTAAGAGATTTTCGTCAAATTAATTGAGAGGAGTTTATTGGGTGGAGAGACAGTCTGGAGGTGGCTTTTAAGCCAAATGGTTGTTGTTTTAGATTCAGCTATTGGGAACACAAAGTTGCAAGTAGCATGGGCTATGGTGAGCCCGTAGTGGATTTGCCTGGCACAGGAGCGAGGCTGTTACTGTCGATTGATTGACTGATAAAGATTAAGCCACCCAAGAGGTGGCACGGGCATGAATAGCCCCTAAATGGTATAACTGTCAGGAAATGTTAGTATAAGACCACACAGCACCGCTCCTTTGCCAGGTAAGTCTACTACGGGCTCACCATAGCCCGTGCTGCTTGGAACTTTGTTCCGAGTAGCTGAATCTATAACAACAACAACATAGTATAAGACAATGATTAAAAGTTATTAGCTGTGGAATATACTGGTGAGGTGTTCCTGTGGAAGATTAATTTGTAACTCTTCCCGAAATCTATTTCTTTGCCATATCAATTCCCTTCAGATAAAATCTATAGCTGTTTGGATGCGCCAAGCTTATTTTCTGTGATTATATAAATTCATTTTAATTTGTAATCTGGAAATATCCTTTCTCTCGTTTTTCCTAAGTTGAATTTATTGTCATAATTAGGTTTAGCTGATTATATTAATGAATAACCTCACTTGTCTCTATAGTATCAGTTTTTCTTTCGTCTCTTTTCTTCTAAAAGAGCCAACGTAAAAATTTTTATAATTAAAAGTTATATTTGTTTAAAGATTTAACGACGCTAAACGAAACATGTAATGATTTCATGGATGTCCAACGACCAGTATAATGCTTACTAATGACATCTAGTGTGGTCGCCTGTGAATGAATTAACGACATAGGAGCGTGGTGCTTTATGACGCCGATGCTGTAAAGACTCCGACGTAACTGCCGGCGGTCGAGGCGGGAGAATAGAATGTTAAGTAATTCCGGCTGTTGCATTATACGAGAACAGTTATGAATATTCGCGGGTTAAATGAACACATCCACAAGGGCCGTGACGAGGACTCGAACCCACGTCCGAGAGCATCCCAGACGCTGCCTTAATCGACCGAGCTACGACATGGTATAAAAATTGCAACCAGAAATTCTAATAAATTTCTAAAATTCTAAAATTTCTTATACCATGTCGTAGCTCAGTCGATTAAGGCAGCGTCTGGGATCCTCTCGGACGTGGGTTCGAATCCTCGTCACGGCCCTCGTGGATTTGTTCATTTGATGCATCACGCTATTGTGATTTCTGTGTGTAATTCGCGGGTTGTTATAATATTGTGGTTTTGTCAACTACCTGGTTTTTGCATGCTGCCCCGACCATGGCAAAATATATACATTTATTACAATTTTGTTTAGATATTACGACAAAGAAAAACTATCTACATTTATATCCCATTTTCTTTAGATGCTACATGAAAACCGTCTGCTTTTGTTTCTCGCTTACCTTAGATGCTCCGACAATGAGAAATACCAATCTATATTCCTTCCCCATTTTCCTTAGATGCTTCTGATTCTCGGAGCGTCCGTGTCGTACTTCGTGATGGGTATGTCCTTATCTTGGCCCAATGTCCTGGCCTCTGACCTCTTGTCTGAGAACTCTACTCTCTTCAGTACTCACCTCCAGCTTGACGACTGGCAAATGGATATGATGGGTATGTTATCATTTAAAGATATCTAATAGTTACGATAACTGGGCATCCTTGAGAGGAAAGAACAAGTGGTAAGACATACTAGCGTAATTCAAAATACTTTAGTCTTAGGCTTGGGATTTGCCAGCCTAGTATTGCAAGGCATTTAACACACATTCCTATTGTTATTTATTGAATTAATAACATTAGGAGATATGGAGTCTATTATCAAACTGAAGATATGTTACCCCCCTGTATTATGGGATGCAAAACTGTCTTTTTATTTTAAGAATAGTATAGGCTTTTAGGTACTATGAGAAGGGTTGCCAAACGTCTGTATATTCCACCACGTGTTCTGGATTCAGGTGTCAAAATTTGTGTCCGAGTTTTAAAAATTCTCAAAAAGTCCGGAATTTCAGTCCCCAACACTTAAAAAATTGTGTGTGTATATATATGATTCTGACTATAATGATATAGCAAGCCTACTATAAGGGAGGTTTTGTCTCTGAGTCTGGAAGTTTCCAATAACCTAGGACTACTGGCTTCTATACAGGCAGCATCTTGACAATAGGTAGCGTGCCTGGGTTCCTGGTGGCGGGGTGGATGATAGGGCGACTGGGGCGGCGATGGTCCCTGGCAGTGGCAGTGGTGCCAGGCCTCCTAGGCTGGGCCGCCATCGCCTTCGCCCTCGACGCCACCATGTTGATCATCGGCAGGTGAGAATATTCCTGTGTTAACAAATTGAGTGACTTTGGTGTGGTACGTATAGATGTGGTGCTTATGGTCACCCATATATTATTATTAATACGTTGACCAAACCACACACTAGAAGGTGAAAGGACGACGACGTTTCGGTCCGTCCTGGACCATTCTCAAGTCGATTGTGACTTGAGAATGGTCCAGGGCGGACCGAAACGTCGTCGTCCCTTCACCTTCTAGTGTGTGGTCTGGTCAATATTCTTCAGCCACGTTATTGTGACTTATCGCCTGCATTATTAATACGTGTTTTATCAACTACTGTGCATGATTTTGAGACCAATATTTTAGATTTTGTAGTCTGAGATTGTAAGTAGTTTTCTTGCATAATGTATAAAATATAGTCTGGGCATTATTCTATGGTGTGTTATCCGCCAGGTTCTTGGACGGCATCACTTGTGGCATGGTCACTTTAGCCGTAATCACCTACGCTACAGAAATACCTGACACCACTCACCGAGGCTCAGTTGGAACTATCGTCTGCTTTATGTTCTTAATTGGTACCGGCATAGGTGTCAGTCTGGGAATCTTTCTAACGTGGTACGAGGTCGCCTTCATCAACGTGGGTCTTCTCCTGTTGTACATTATCGCCATTGTTCCCTGCTTGCCGGAAAGCCCGACCTTTCTTGCGGTAAATGACAAAGACAAAGCAGCTCACAGAATCTTAGAACGTCTTAGAGGAACATATGCCGATCTTGACGCCGAAATAAAATTATTAAAGCAGTTAAACAGAGTAACAGATGCAACCTCAAAGTGGGGTGCCCTTTTAAGTTTAGAAAACTTAAAACGTATATCTCTCTTGTCTTGTCTTTTCTTCATTCAAAACTTTAGTGGGACTGCAGTCATCAGGGTCAATGCCACGAGAATACTTGAAGCCTCGGGTGTGAATCTGGATAAAGATATCAGCACCACCATACTTCTAGTGGTTCCAATATGTGGGGTTTTCGTGCTGACGTCCCTAGTGGACCGTATAGGCCGTCGGCTGTGTCTAGTGGTCTCGATGGCACCAATGGTGGTAGCCTACGCCATACTAGGCTGCTATGTCTTCCTCAGTAATTACCAAGTGACTATCGTGTCCTTCGCTTCGCTCTACTCCAACCATAGCCACGAAACAGGATCCATACAAAAGATTGAAAGGTAAGCATGTTCTTAAAACTTTTAATGTAATAAATCATCAAAACTGAGAATTATTATTACGCTTTCATCATAATTTATGGAATGAACTGTTAATATTTATTAATTGAAGATATTTACAGTTTTGAAATTATAGAATTTTCTAGCGCAAGATAAACAGTGATAAAACAATACACACTGAAATCACAATAGCGTGATGCATCAAATGAACAAATCCACAAGGGCCGTGATGAGGGTTCGAACTAACGCCCGGGATGATCATCTAGTCTTAGTCGATTAGTCTGCCGTAGTCGACTAAGTCGCTGCCTTAGTCGACTACTCTGGCCTAGTCGACTAAGGCAGTGTCTGGGATCATCCCGGGCGTAAGTTCGAACCCTCATCACGGCCCTTGTGGATTTGTTCACTGATAAAACACATCTGTCAGTCAAGTAGCTTAACATATACCGTGAAAAAAGTTAAAAGCAGGATTTTACTATATAGAGTGCATCATTTTGGACACACTTGGATGAAGACTGCATATGGGTGAGCGTTCAATGTTAATATATCTGTTAATGTATGTGATAAACGTTAAGACTTAAATTTGCAACCCCCTAAGCTATTGTTAGTCATTCTTCTATATTAACTTTAAGTTAGCTTTCTATTACATTTAAAGAGATAAATATTGTCTCAATGTTCGCCCTAAAAATATCTTTTGAACCTCCTTATCAAATACTACATGCACGCTGCACACGCATCCTTATGAAGGTGCACTGATTCAGGAATGACTCAAACCAAATCAAAATCTTCAATACTACAAATATATTTCAGCAGCCATTATTTGCATGCATACACACGTATTTATCCATGAATGTATGTATATGTGTATGTATACAAGTTTATTTATTTGAGATAAGTCCTGGTCACATTGATGCATCTTCAAACTGTTTCCTGAGCATTATGTCATGTTTTATCACCAACGTGAAAAAGGCAAGATATAGAAATACTGTGTTCAGTTTCGAGCTTCAAGATTTCTCTTTTCAAATATATAGTTACCTTTGTCCAGTCCAGAGAATGAGTGGTCATGGCTCCCTCTGGGGTGTCTCCTGGTATGCATCTTCGCCATGAACATTGGCATCGAGTCTCTGCCGTGGCACCTGTCATCTGAACTCTTCCCAACCACCATAAGGTCCCAGGTGAGCTGATTTGGGAACGGTTTCCTTGAAAGGATAATTTATCAATGTAATCTTTCGGGTGTGACCTTTAACAGTAACAAAGTAAAAAAAAAGACCGTCCTTTCAGTCACAGATGCTATTCTAGCCTTATTTTTTTAAATGAAAACATGCAAGGTTTTTCTCCATTTAACGTTAAGATCTACTTATCACTTGATATTCCATGTAAAGATCTCAATTGCGTTGATATTCATAGGATACACTAGACTCACTTGAGGAGAAATACCATGTACCTTGTGTTATATACAGCCTTTCAGGTTGTATATATAATACAAGGTACAAAGCTTGGGGCTATATTTTGATAATGTATTACCATGTATCTTTGCAGGCGATGAGCGTATGCACTGTCGTGGGGAGCGTGTTCGCGGCGGCGGCCCTGCAACTGTACAGTCCCATGCAAAGCTTCCTCACCCCTGCTGGTCTCTACTGGACCTATGCCGGCGTCTCTGCCCTGGGAATAGTCTTCATTCTCCTCACTATTCCAGAGACCGCCCGTCAGGCAGTTGGCTAGGCCCGGAGACAATACGTGAAGCAGTTGGTTAGGCTCGGAGACCGCCCGTCAGGCAGTTGGCTAGGCCCAGAGACAATACGTGAAGCAGTTGGCTAGGCTCAGAGACCGCCCGCCAGGCAGTTGGCTAGGCCCAGAAACAATATGTGAAGCAGTTGGCTAGGCTCGGAGACCGCCCGTCAGGCAGTTGGCTAGGCCCAGAAACAATACGTGAAGCAGCTGGCTAGGCTCGGAGACCGCCCGTCAGGCAGTTGGCTAGGCCCGGAGACAATACATGAAGCAGTTGGCTAGGCCCAGAGACCACACGTGAAGTAGTTGGCTATTCTTATTATTGTTATTTCCTTTTTTAACTTCATCTGTTCTCCAGTATGTCTTAATTTAGTGCTACGTCTGTCATTTATAATTTATTATGTAGGATGTCTATAAGACAAATTTAACGATTAATATTTTGGACCCATGAAGCCTCATGATGAAATAAATCAAATCAAATCAAATCAAATTATTCAGGTAATGTACATACATACGAGGTGAGATACAAAACATTGATGGATTTATAGCTAGATGGATTTAGATATAGATAGATTTATATAACTTTTTATAGCTTCAACGCTACGTTCTGTCAGTACCTACATACATGGTCCCCAGGCCTGACGGGCTAAATACATGGATTCGAAAGAGCTTAAAAAAACACATAGTCCTAACAACGATATGGCGTTGAAAATACCAAATTGGAAGCAACGTTTTTCCTAACTTGGTTATTTCAAATTTGAAACCGAAGCAACGTTTTCCGAACTTGGTTATTTCAAATTTGAAACCGAAGCAACGTTTTCCGAACTTGGTTATTTCAAATTTGAAACCGAAGCAACGTTTTCCGAACTTGGTTATTTCAAATTTGAAACCGAAACTAGTCAATAACTTTGACGCTGATTATATTATGTATTTAAATTATTAGAGTATGTGTATAATGTCTGGAATGTTGTAGTGCGCGCGTTGCTTAAATAAAAATCGTACTAAATTTTATGCGCATGTTGGCGGGAAATTTGTATTTGTTATGAATTCACTGCATTGTGAGGCGGGCATTCACCGGTCACTGCGCTCTTTGGATTTTATGCAGGTGTTGCATAGTTATTTTTGTTTGGTGTAATTACTCCTGCAAATAATGTAGAACACGTAAGGATTTTTTTTAAGTACAAGGTAAAAAAAATTGTTTAGTACCTGTACAAGGTAAAAAAAATTGTTTTGTTTAAAGTAATGATTAAGATTAAAGACAAATGTCTTTGGTGTCTATTCAGTGTATGGTCACTTGGCTATAATAGAAGACAGCAAGAATTGTCAATTCAAAGGGTCACGATACAGTTGAAAATACATTTTTTGGCATTTTCACAGAATGTCCGTGTTATGAATGAGACGCGAAGGATGTGTGGTGTGGCAGTTGTAGAGCAACGACGGGCTGTAGTATTATTTATCATTAAAAAATACATGTAAGAATGAAAGATGAAGCATTATGCGGTGCACCTAACTTAGTGGATGAGAGAAACGTTGAAGGGTGATGACGCTTCCTTGCAGGTTTTCCTTGGAAAGTAGAACCAGTCCAGTTTGGTCTCAGCTCAATGAATATAACCTGAAGCTGAAGTAAATCAACGAATATAATTATTGTTTAATGTATTGTTGCAATGCAACCATCTTTGTTATATATGATTTTATTATAAAATACATAAAAATAAAAAATATATTCTAGTATTTTACACATTTAAGTGGTATTCTTTATCCTACTAAAATCACAACCATTTATATATATATATATATATGTATATATATATATATATGCGAACAAGCTTGAATGGTCCCCAAGCATACATGCAAAATGAAAACTATATATACCGCCAGGAGCACATTGCAACTGGGGTTAAGGCACTATATTGCATATATATTTTCATTTGCATATATATATATATATATATATATATATATATATATATATATATATATATATATATATATATATATATATATATATATGTAGTAGTGACCTTCATCAGGTTGGCTGTGTCAGTAGTGGTGACCCCCTAATGGTGGACTATAGCTCCTGAAACGTGAACATTCAATACGAAAATGAATGTTGTCTGTCGCAACGTTCAGAGAGGTGAAGGAAACGCCACTAGCAGTATTGGTGGTGGGAGGAGCCCAACTAGTGGTTGACCGCTCATTCTCTGACCTCTAAACCAACCAGCGCTGACTCATACTCACTGTCGTTGGAAATGCACCTGTAGCGAGTGCAATTTCCAGTCAAGAATGTAGCACTCGGCGTACGCAGTTCTAATCGACCCTAAGACGCTACAGCTTCGACACAGAACAGACAGCAGAGAGCGGACTATCTTACACTGTCCTATCTTACACTGTCACCCTATCTTAAAATGTTATATGGCAAAGAGTGCTGGGAAGACGGGACATCACGAGCGTAGCTCTCATCCTGTAACTACACTTAGACAATTACACTTAGGTAAAAAAAAAAACAGCAGAACAAACAGCAGAGCCCACATAGAGCTCCGCGACTCCGGCCACACTCAGCTCTCTGCTCTGCTCCAAGCTCCGTCTCAACGTCTATGACACTGCTGTATCCAGAACTACTAAATAAATATGAAAACCCACTAAACACTGTGCATCTAATCTACTCAACAACGTAACATCATCGTACGTTACACACCTATAAAACCGGGTCAGGAAACATTACCCTTAGGGGCTGACTTCTTGAATTTCCAGAGACCTGGAAAGGTGTTCGGGAGGTCTTCTACTCCCCGAGCCCGACCTGTGGCCAGGATATGACAGGTTAGGTTAGGCTGTAATGTTATTGCCACATTTTACCGTGACGTTTACATTGTTCCAATAATGCGAAACGTGAACCTTTTGGATTACAACTGTTTATTTCTGTACGTTCGACCATTAAATATTATTTTGGAGGATGGGTACACTTCACTGTATATTAGCCGTTTTAGTTTTGCGAAATACCGTATTAAAGTATATTAGAACATATTTATAATGTCAGAAAACCGTTTTAAATCAATTGTCTGGAAAAACCATAGAGCATATTGCCAATATATATTTACCTGAACTGTGTTCAGAATTTACAACAATAAATGTACATAAACGCTTCTACAGGAAAATTTTACAAATTTATTTTGGTTCTGGGATTTTTTCAAATAAAAATAAAAATAAAATTTGTATATTAACAAATAAATCAACAATCATAATATATTACCATAAGTATAATGCTTGGCAGAGCATTATACATAGAAAAATATAGTTTTGATAAAATAGTTTTGTTATACTCCTAGTATATTAAAATATATATAGTTTTCAAAAATATAGATATACATAGAAAAATTTACTACAATATCGTAGTGCTTGAATGAAGGTGAAGGAAAGACCGTATATATGTGTAAATGTATAACATCAACATTACATACACTAGCAAGTGTCTTAACCAACTCGTCATTACTATAATTTCCTTAGTTTAGTTTAGTTCATTTATTATGCACCCCATACCCATCTTGTGGGCGATAGTGGAAAGGGTTACAGAGGCACATAATGGGCTCAGGGACTGAACCCCACAATTCATTTAGCTATGCAAGTTACAATCTTGATGAGCTAGTTACAAAATTCAATATAAGTCGTCACATCAACAATGGGTTCGAGATCGACCTCAAGTGCAGGTTCTAAATAATTTCCTTAGCTAGATGAATTTATAATTTTGGGGGTTTAGTTTCAGTCCATCATGTACCTCTGTAACATTTTTCCCGTCCTCTCAAATTCGCGGTTCTTTCGTAATCGTAACTAACGTTATAAATCAACAGCGTAAGTAAGCTGCGCGTACTAGTGGCTTTACAAGAATGTAATTACTATGCTATGTATCCTCACAATCCCAATGTACCTTCTTGTATATATATAAATAAATAAATAAATGCAATCCATTAAGGAAAATAACGGTTCACAAATATCTATGCTTTCTATGCATCGCACGTGATAGGTTAGGCGGGTTGCTTGGGTTCACACGCTTCTAGTTAGGCTAAAAGGTACGTGGGTGTTTTACATAGTGGATAATCAAGAGAGCGGGCTGCACAGCATGGGTATGAACTACAAAATATATGGACCAAAGTCGACATGAAAGGACTATCTTACACTGTTGTATTTCGGCTCACACTGCTCTTCTCACACGTCATACTAAACTGCACTTTTGAAATACAGAAAAAAGCCTCATACTTCTTCCTGACATACAGCACTACTACCCTTCATAAAGCCGATTGATTGATTGATGAAGATTAAGCCATCCAAAAGGTGGCACGGGCACGAATAGCCCGTAAGTGGTGGCCCTTTTGAGCCATTACCAGTATCAATAGCTGATACTAGAGATCTGTGGAGGTGCGACTGCACCCTGCGTGACGGGAGATGTCTCCCGTCTTCATAAAGCCTCATTTCTTAGATTTTATAGTACCCCCACCCTTCCCCGTCTATTTCCAACAACGTATGCAGTAAAAGGTGTGTGGTTGGAGCAGCCGCTCACCTTGACCTGAGCGAACCCTGCCACTATTTGGGGAGAGTCGCTTCTCATGACATCAGAATTTCAAGTCTCGGTCAGGCATTTAATTATGAGTCAAGCCACGCAAGTGGTGCAGGGCATGGAGGCATGAGGCCTGGAGATCAACGAAATACTGGGATCACAGACTTTCCAATAAAGAATTTTATTATGAATTAGCTACACGAGCAATATTGGAAACATGACTGTAAGTGGAGGCCCAGGGATGCCAATCTGTGGCGCGAGGACATGATTATCGGCCAGTGAGGCAGAAAAGTAAACATTGTGAATGAGCGGGAGACGGAAACATAAGCCCTGTAGGTCATCACGGAGAGAGTAGGTGAGGCCAGCTGGCCTCTTCTACCCTGGCTTGTGCCCAGGCATGCACGTCACTGTGTATTTAGAAAGTTAGGGTGTTAAATTCGAGGCTGGAAGTGACTGAAGTTTGTATAAGAAAGGACAGTATAGTCCATAAGTGTACTTTCCCTGTACGTAGTTGCTCTGGCTAAGCCACCTTGCCCAAATAAGATCAATCGCGGTCAACATTTTCTGGATTAGTTTATATATATATATATATATATATATATATATATATATATATATATATATATATATATATATATATATATATATGCGAACAAGCCAGAATGGTCCCCTGGACAATATGCAACTGAAAACTCACACCCCAGAAGTGACTCGAACCCATACTCCCAGAAGCAACGCAACTGGTATGTACAAGACGCCTTAATCCACTTGACCATCACGACCGGACCGGATCGAGTCACTTCTGGGGTGTGAGTTTTCAGTTATATATATATATATATATATGTCGTACCTAGTAGCCAGAACTCACTTCTCAGCCTACTATTCAAGGTCCGATTTGCCTAATAAGCCAAGTTTTCCTGAATTAATATATTAACTATAATTTTTTTCTTATGAAATGATAAAGCAACCCTTTTCTCTATGTATGAGGTCAATTTTTTTTTATTGGAGTTAAAATTAACGTAGATATATGACCGAACCTAACCAACCCTACCTAACCTAACCTAACCTAT